TCCCAAGGGGTCAATAATCTTAACCACACAAAAGTGTTTTGCATGGATCAGACCTTAAGAAATAGCTTTGTACTGAATAGAATTAGCCAGCTACTTAATGCTCCACACATAGAGAATATGAATCAAAGTGACTTTGCCCAGGCATTTTACAATTCAAGTTAGGGGTTTTACTTTGGACAGACAATATAGGAAATTGAGCGAGTCTTAAATAGAGGAGATCTGGGTCATTATCACAGAACAAGGGTGTCAAACTCAATTTCATTGAGGGTCGCATCAGGGTTGTGTTTGACCTCAGGGGGGCAGGGTCGGTATGGCCGGGGTGGGCGTGGCCAGCTCGACATCATTCGTGTTGGGGTGCCTGAGTGTTCTGCCAGTGAAATGGGCTCCCGAGCTCTGTTTCGGATGCCACAGCTTCCTACAGCCCTCTACCACCACATGAGGCCCTCGCAAGCTCGGTTTCATTGGCACAGGCACTGGAGGCCAGTCCTTTGTTGCTTGTAGGGTGGCCCCACGGGCCAGATCTAAACACCCCACAGAACGGATCCAGCCCACGGGCCTTGATTTTATCCATAACTACCTGCCCCTAAGCAAGTCCTTTATGTCTTCCAATGATACACCCATCACCCCTGTAGCAGTGTCCATCCACTTTGTTGATCTTCCTCTTTCAGGCTCAAATTTTTATCAGACCATTGCTCAAGGCTGCAGCTATTCCTCCTTTCTCCCATGGCCATTCTCCCATACCATTACAGAAGGCAACCTTAGCAGCAGCTCAACATTTTGTTCTAATGCCAGACCTTAGCAGAATTTTAGAAAATGGCAGAATGGAATGCAGGAGGCACCAGGTCAGGAACCGAAGGGAAGCTTAAGCAAGCAGGCAAGCATTGGAGTATGTCTTTACAACAGACAAGCAATGGAGTATGTCTTTACAGTTGGAAAACTACTGGCTTTTCTGATGGTCTGAACTACAGTTCTCACCAACTCTAGACAACATGATCAATGAGGAGGATCCTGGGAATTATAGTTCAACAATATCTGGAGAATTACAGATTCTCCATTCATATATATACCTTGCAGGTTTATGAGCCAATGCCCCTAAGCAAGAAAGGTCTACCTATGTTTATACATAAGAAGTCATAATAACATCATTTGTTGAATAAGGCACTGATGATGTTTTTAGGTGTAATGCTCACCCATAAACCAATTTTTTAAATTTTTAAAAATGCATTTACCCCATTTTATTTATCCATTTATTTCTACAATGCCAAAAGTTGGCCTGTAGTCTTTGCTCTTGATAGGATATAATTCTATGGAGCTACTTTTTATTTTGCATAAAGAATTCAGAACATTCACTCTGAGCCCAGATGCCAAAAAATAAACAAAACACTCCACATAAGGGTGCCGTAATATTTGTTCAGCAACTATTAACATGGGAAATATTGCAGGCGCTTATTCAAAGCAGGAAAACCTTTGTAATTCTATGCAACATATTTCCAAGGGTCGTTCTGAAAATTAAAAAAAAAGTCCAATTTGCTACTTTTTTCTAATGCAAGCTATTACTTTTCATAGGGGCCCAGAGGTGGCCAACACACCAGCCATAAATATTCATGTTTCCTGATGAAGTTACAAAGCCCATTCCAACCTGCCACCACCACGCTGTCACTAAGGGGCCTGAAAAGTGCCATATTTTTAAATTAACAATAATCTTTAGTTTGCTTTTGATCGCAATGGCGTCTCCCAAAGCAACTGTTTATGTACATTTGCATATGTGCTGGTGCTCATGGCAATCAGAACAAATCTCAGATAATGCCTCCCTTTTTTGGTTCATTGAGTGAAACAGGGCATCCAAGCCTTCAAGAATAGAAAAGAAAAGAAAAGAAAAGAACAGAACAGAACAGAGTAGAGTAGAGTAGAGTAGAGTAGAGTAGAGTAGAGTAGAGTAG